AAAGGTGTAAGCGTGGATCTAAACCTTTTTATACTAATGCAACAAATGACTTTTGTTGTATTCATCTATTATACCAATGTTATCACACTCATGTTGTTTATTTCTTCTCATACATCTAGCCACTGTAACTACTCATGCTGAATGTGAAACTTCAAATCTAGTCAAACAGTCATTACCACCAGTGTTGCACTCAGATCCTGTAGAACAGACATCAGTGTATCAATGGGATTTAACTTCATTGAAATTACCATCCCTTTCTTCATCTGTCCATAGTAATAATAATAATACTAATAACAGCAATCTTGAATCGCAGAATACTGCAGCTAATCAATCGCATAGAACAGAATCCACTTATGACTACTTGGAGAATCAAAGATTATCTGATTATCTACCTTTACCAAAACTGCAACTGTCGTCGGGTAAAGAAACAAATTTCACCAGTCGTCAACCCGTTAAATCGTCCGAGTTATCATCATCAGATGAGAATATGTTATCTAAAGAAGAACAAGAAACTGAAAGACGAATTAATCAAATTTTACTAGCTGCTAAAGTTGCAATGGATTATGAAAAACAAATTAAATCAGCTGCTGCTGTTGGGAGTGGTGGTGATGGTAGTACTATATCTGATGAATTAGTTGTCAAGGCTACAAGTGAAGCGTTTAATACTGCTATGAAAAATTTGCCTGCAATATCTGATTGTCATCATAGTGGTATTTGTAATCCATTGGTGTCTACAGTTTCTAATGGTGATCTACAGGTGAGTAATTGAGCGTGTGTGTGTGTATGTGAAGACTTAGTCATCCAGTCACTACTACTTTATTGATTCAATGTTTAGTTTAGTATTCAGAATTGATGTAAGAGAATTGTAGCTCAGATGGGATATATAGATGTAGTTGTGTTCTCAAGCAGGCTTTAGACCAGGTAGAGGATGCATAGATCATATTTCCACTCTCCGACAGATTCTAGAACACAGACACACTTTTCGGCGTCCAACAATTGTCATATTTCTTGATTTGAAGGCGGCCTTCGACTCCGTGGATCGAAAGGTACTATGGCAATGTCTGACTGTGAAGGGAGTGTCAAGAAAGTATATTGCACTAATCAAGGCACTCTATTCAAACTCACGTAGTCGTGTAAGGGCTTATGGGGAATTGTCATCTGAATTGGTAACAACCAGTGGTGTCCGACAGGGATGTCCACTCTCCCCATTTCTGTTTAACTTCATCATAGATATGCTAATGGAAGTATCCTTAACTGAACGTCACGACTTAGGAATCGACTTGCTACCAGGGAATAATCTAATGGACTTAGAATATGCAGATGACATAGTCCTGTTAGGGGAGGATGCTGACAAAATGCAGAGTCTTCTGAACACCTTGAGCAGCAATCTTCGTATGTTTGGCATGCGATTCGCCCCTGCAAAATGCAAGATGCTGCTACAGGACTGGACTACGTCAACTCCTAGCTTAGTGATAGGGAGTGAAGTGAGAGAACATGTTGACCACTTCACCTATTTGGGAAGTTGTATTAGCACCAACGGACTGATTGGCGATGAAATCTCAGCACGGATCCGAAAAGCTCGAGCTGCTTTCGCTGACTTACACCATCTCTGGCGTAGGCGTGACATCCGGCTATCAACCAAGGGACGTGTGTACTGCTCATCAGTTCGCTCCGTCCTTCTCTATGGCTCTGAAACATGGCCGATGCGAGTTGAAGACATGAAAAGGTTGACTACTTTCGATCATAGATGACTACGATCTCTTTCTCACGTTAGGTGGTATAATAAGGTAAGTAATGTTGACGTTAGGCGTAGAGTGTTGGGCAAAGAGGGAAAATCAATCGACGAGGCTATAAAGTTACTAGATTGAGATGGCTAGGTCACGTGGTGCGCATGCCTAACCATCGCCTTCCCGACGGGCATTACTAGCTGATATAGGTGCAGGTTGAAAAGAGTAAGTAGTGGCCAAACAAAAACATGGCCTCATCAATCCATGAAATCCTTGACAGTTAAACTGAGTCAGGTAGGGAGATGCAGACTTCCGGGTTGGGGCCCTCGGGACTCTAGGAATCAATGGCTGGAGACAATAGGTGACATGGCTCAAAATCGTTGTTAATGGCCAGCGCACATGTATTCAGTCTCTGTAATCTTTCATATTCCTTTCTACCATTACCCATTCTGTTTCACTCTTATACTTGTCAGACTGTATTGATTCTCTTCACTCATCTTCTTGTCTACCTTTGTGTGCTATTTGGAAGGTGGCAACTTGAACTGGTGCAATTCGGTGGCAAGTTCTATGTTGAATCCAGACAGACAGAGACAGTTCTTTGAGCCGGGTGGCTTAGTTGCGAACCTTACCTTTGTCTTTCTAGATAACATCTTCAGCACTAGCCTCAAAAAGGAGTATGCTTTTGGGATTTCTATTGGCTAAATAGTCGGGGGAGGGCTAAAATATCTCTCGAGGCAATGAGTTATGATCATGGTCACCAGGCGAGGTGGCTATCAGACTCGATTAGCTCATTTCATACGAATATCAGGGCTGTGAAGATATTGTCTAGGAAATCCCGTTGAAACTACACAGCTTAGAGAACACAAGTGTTACACGAATGCTAGCGTAGGCGTGACAGAGAAAATCCCTTGTTGTATAGTGAAAGCTATGGTGACACATACCACTTTAGGCCACCTCTGGCGCCGTCACGACGTCAGCCTGGCTATCACAAGTCTTACCCTACACCTGTGAAGCCTGGCTTCTGTGTATTCGATCATCACCGCCTCTGTAGAATTGTTTGCTCCCCATGTTATCATCATGGAAGCCATTCTTCTGAAGATCAGCAACATGGGTTCGGATACCGTGGAGGTCACCGTCCACAGTGAGTGCAGTCATCTTGAAACACCTGCTTCTATGGCTTGGTATAATGTGCTACGAATGTCATCCTAGAAGCTTTCAAACCACTCACTGTTCAGTAGCCCTAGAACTGGATAGAAAAAGCCTAACGGTGAATAACTTGTGATGTGGTGCCATGAGATGAAGGATATTTATGTAAGATTAACATTTTTAAGGGATAGTTCGATTTGGTGGCTAAAAACGTTACCAGATATGGCTGAGAATCTCAATCTATGGCAACTGTGTTGCGATTTCTTTCTTTCTCTCCCCGTCTGAATGTAAAATAATGTGATGAATGTTGAATGACCTTGACAGGTTTTCTTGCCTTCTGGATGACGTTTTTCCTCAATTCTATCCCTCCTTTTGTATAATACTGGATAGATTAGTGTTATCTAATATGTTCTTACTTGCATTACAGACTACCGATTCTGGAAGCGTTATTAATTCTTTAATGTCAACTGGTGGCAAAACTACCGATACACTCACCTCCTCCTACTGCTCTTCCTCTTCTAATCTGCCAACTTACTCAAACAGTTTGTCAAAACTAACAGCCTATAATACAGAACCCAACTCCACATTGTTTAGTAGTTCAAATAACTTATTTAGTGGAAATATCATTACAACTACTTGTCTACCGACTGTATATAGTTTACAAAGTGTTGAAACAAACTCCAGTCAGCTACCTTCTAGTCAACCAACAACCACAACAATAATACCACCTGTATACTCGAACAATATAGTCTGTCCGACAAATCTGTCTGTGCCAGTTATATCAACTGGGATTACTGTTGCAGATTTGGTGAGTTCATTAAATCTTATTGATGTATCTACCTTATATCTTGAGTAATATTTAAATGTCCTGAGCTACACTGCGCTACACTACACATCAGGAGGCGTTGCTTTTTTTCCTTAAATAACATGTTAGGTATTTTATTAATGTGACTCCCTTAAGTTCCGAGTGGAACATAAAGCTTCAATAGCGCACACTTCATCCGGTTCTCTTCAATCCTCTCTGACTGACTCCACTATCTCCTTTAAGCTCTCATCTCCTTCTCCTCACATGATCTCCTTCATATGTCACCCTCGGAACCACACCCAACTCCATTCTCCATTCGGCTTCCTCTTGAGGATACCTGGTGCGCCCTATCATCACCCAACGGTCTCATGAGTGTGTGCAATTCATTTCAATATTCTTAAGCATATTTATTGGGGCAATAGATTGTTGATTGGTTCGTTGCAACAATACAAAGTTTCTTGGTACTAATCTTTTCTGGCCTACCATCTGATCTTCAGTACGGAGATATGAAGTAGTAAAGTAGTGTAACAACAGAAGACAAGGGTCAGACAACAGATCGTTTATTTACGAAATCAACACATATTTATATATTTTCATGTACATTATTATAGAGTATTGTAAGCAAACAAACACAGTCTTCTGATTGGTGGTGGTTTCTCGCTGAACCTTAATCTTTCATCTCTTTGTGGCTATTTCTTGAAGTTCAGATCATCTATATGTTAACTGTATCCGCCTACGCAAAGCCTTTGTTCTCATTCTTCTCACGACCAATATTGGGGACGTAAACATTGACGTAAATTGCTATCTACCGATTTTGGCTAGCAGCCAGTCCTCACCACAGTAGAACTACGTTCAGTCAGACGTACTGTGCAATATAGTCAGGAAGCTACTGAACTCTTGGTTTAAACTATCTAGAAGGTGTAAATATATGTAGACTCCCATGTTGGATTACTAATGTTATTAACAGTTAGTTGTTAAATGGCTGTATTTTGATAATTTAATATTCGTGATATTGATGATGCAGACACATTGTCCCTTTTCATTTCCTTTTATCATAGTATAACTATATCCCCCCCTGTTTTTCACTCGCATCTAGTTTTTTTTCTCAATATGGTTTGTACTCGTTTTCCACCATTTTTCTCTGATTGATCAAAAATCAGGATTGATCATTTTTCAAAAATAAATAATATCCTACAGTGTCTGATATCTGTCGTGTTTACACACTGATAGTGTTATATCCGTAAAGCAATAATTTCATTCTCGTCTATCATTTGATGAATAAATTGTATGCAAAACGTTGTTTAGGGAATAAAACCTGTCTAACTCACTTCTTTTATCAATGTATAATATAACTCTCAAAGATTGGATATTTGAAGTAGTATCGTTGAATGGCTCTTGGTATTTGACACAAAAACCCTAGATCTAGGTCACGTCCTCATTGCCAATCTATAGAGAAATGCAAATACAACCTTAGTGGAGCCGATATCCCTTTGGTCGTTCTGATGGGGTGTCATTCAGTTCTGTAGTTGGAAATATCAAAATACTTACAATTAGTTGTGTTCTCTTAGCTAATTGGTTTAATTACGAAGCTTTCGTCGTCCTTCTGGACAACATCCCTCTTCAGCGTAAGTTTTAGCCTAAAATGAACTGATTTAAATTCTCCATGAATGATAGAATTTTGTCTCTTGACTACCATCTTTTTGATTGGTAGTCAATTTATATCTGTATTGATCATTTTTTATAGACTTGAATTTTGAACTTTCTCGTCACGTGATTTACTTTTTACTAGTTGGTATATTTGGTCTATATTAATGTGTTTTGTTAACCGCTGATTCGTCTAAGTACCAGGCATCTAGAAATTCTCTGCCACTTTTGGTGTTTTCTCTGTCTAAAATTTCGACATTATTCCAATCCAATTGGTGTCCATAATTGTCTACATGCATTGATATGAAAGAATATATATCATGTCTTTTTACAGCTAATTTGTGTTCTTGTATTCGGAGTCGAAGGGGACGCCCACTTTGACAAATGTAATATATGTTACAGTACATGCAATTTATTTTGTAAATGGTATTAATTTTATCTTCTTTTTTGTTGGATCTTTCTGTGGCTAGGAGACACAGTTCTGTCATTCATGGAGAATTTTAAATCAGTTCATTTTTAGGCTAAAACTTGCGCTGAAGAGTAATGTTGTCCAGAAGGACGACGAAAGCTCCCAATTAAACCGATGAGCTCAGAGAACACGAATAATTGCAAATTATCCACCTGAGCTACAAACATTCTCTATTATTTCAGTGTCAAAGTATCTCCCATTGGTAATCGATACAGTTTAGTTAGGAAGTCTGTTTACATTACTACTCTTCAAAAGCTGTACAGTTTTTTGAGAGTGTATATGTACTACACTAATTGCCAATAAAGATTAGAGGTTATTCCGAGTTAGTACCAAAAAATAAATTAAAGTTTATAAGAAATAACAATTTGTAAAAAACAGCGAATAATCTTACGTAATTGAGAAAGTTGACAATTAATTAGTTAAGTGGTGAATAGGTAGCATGGGAAAAAAATTGAGAATGAATCCCCTATACATGCAATTCATTATTTAACCGGTGAAGAACAGAAAATTAAGACTGAAGTGGTCGTAGTAGTAGAAGAGGCTGGATCAAACAGCTTTGAACACTAAGTTCGAGTGACGAGAATTCACCTACCTAAAAAGGGTTTGATTGAAATCCTATCAACTGACTCGATTATGCCTTTAATGTGGTGCTAAATTATGTCTCCACTGATGCTGCATGACCAGAAACGATAATTAAGCTTTTGACTGTTCTACATTTTCCCTGTGATAACCACGAATACGGTGGGACAATATCTTTCTGGAGCAGCCTGTGTATAAGTGACTCCATGGGAGCAAGTGAACTCACAAATGCATCGTGAATTCGCCAACAGTGAAATATTGTCTTTGAACAGGAGCAGTAGTAGCCAAGTTGAAGTGTAGAGAGGAAGCAAAGAATATTTTTTTTGAATTGCTCTTAGTAGCTGGTGTGGAAAGACTTTACTAATGTTCAGTTTATATCCAGATTTCACGGAGCATTGATCTTTTTGAAATGTTTATCATTTAAAGGAATTTGGATATCTATCGTTAATTCGAGTGTTCCTGAAGGTTTCTAAGTTCTCGCTCAATGCACGTTCAGTATGTAAACACGGTAGATTCTTTAATTGGATACCAGTAACTAGTGTTATGCGTCTAGTCCTTGCTTTAGTGCAGACTGAATTGTATCAGGTAGGTTTGCAATATGGCCACCATTCTAGGTAGCTCGCCATCACGGTGCACACTGATTCGATGATATTAGATGGTTGGAGATAGTAGACAGGAAGCCTTGCTTAACCTAGGTTTCGTGCTAGTTGGCACTCACCAGTCAGCAAGGCATATCGCAACTTCGAAGGGGCTCATGTCCCTTCTGAGATTCGAAACCGCGTCACCCAGTGCTGCAGTCAGAGACGTTACCACTGAGCTACCACTGTAGATTCTCGTCGATTGATAAGTAATGAGATTTCTTTGTGTGGTTATTGGGATAAAACTGTGAAATTTTGTCAGCTGTTCATTTCATCTGGACTTATGGTAAAATTAATCTTTGTAGAGATCCATTTATTCGTCGTTAAAGCAGAATATCTACGAAGGATAACTTGCCTTCTGGCACAGTCTTAATTTTAAAGTCGTCTGATATTTGCTTCTGACGCTTATTGATAATTAACATTAAAAATACAAATCCCTAAATAACTGTACACCTTCGATGAAATGTTACGAAAAGTGACGCCTTCGCCAACTTATATCTTCTCAAGTTACATCACATGTGAGTTAGCTTTAAGGACCTGACAGTATAACACTAGTTACTATCTCTTAGTCAATCAATGCCATGTTATGGGTGTCAAGTCTTATATATACATACATATTTTTGTCCTATAGTTGGTTTGTAAGGATTCGTTTTGTTTTTAAGAGTTAAAATTAATCTGTTGCACGCTAGTGACTTGCTACAAGATAGAGTTTCCTGGAGTTCTAATGAGAAGTCGTGATCAGTTAGATCCATCCAGTCAAGTGTGAGGAGCGATGTACCACCGATGACATTGGTTAGTGGTCGAGCTAAATCACGAATTGGTAGAAGTTAGAATTCATTGGCTGGCAATTAAATCGGTTCCCAGTGGCTGAATGGTATACGAGCCAGCTTGCCTTGTAACCAGAAGGTCCTGGGTTCGAACCCCAGTGGGTGCGTACTGCCAATAATTCCCAAACTAGGATGAAACAGCTGGTTGTCCAGTACTCCCTTCTTGTTTTCAATGGTTCTCTAACTGATATCAATCCGCGATCAACTCGTATATATATATATATATATATATATATATATATGAACCACTCTGTTGAAGTATTTCTTTATAGCATGATTTGTTGATGTATGTTTTATTTGATTGTTTTTAGCTCAAACTATTCACTGCTCAAATCACTAATAATTCAATCATCAATCCAGACAATTCAGTCATCAAATTAGCCTCAGGTTGTGTTAACCAACAGAAGAATTTCTCTCATCTTACAGAAATACAATCATCAACTGAAAATATGAATGATTCAAGCAGAATGGAAACTAATGGAAATATTTTATTCAATAATAATCATAATCATAGTAGTAGTATTTTGTTATTCCCTAATTATTCATCATCATCATCATCTATAATTGAAGATAATCCTATCACAGTTAATCTGAATGATCCTAATTACTGTAACCCAGTATATACTGTAGCTAATGAACTGTCAACTGCATCAATTAGTATGAATCATCACCAACCTCATCATCCGCCTCCACAACCGCCACCCGCGCCTATTATTCCACCGTTAGGTATATCTCCTGCATCAATATCAACTTTTCCACAAATATCTTCTTCATCCACATCATCAATGTCATTTCAACAAACTTTAATGCTTTTAGCTTCAGCGGCAACAGCTACTGGAGTTCACCTGCAATCATCCGATATCTTATCTAAGTTAGATGCTACTGTTAATGAGAATCATTTCAATTATTATACAAATAATACTAATTATCATGAAACTACTGATGATAATCTTTCTGATTCAGTTAGTAATAATAATAATACCTGTAGTTTATCCTCAACATCATCATCCCATAGAGTTTCAACTCTTCCACCATTGAAACAAGAAGATATTGATAAGTATTGTGATGAACTATCTACAGAAGAGATAACTCAGCGTACACGTTCACTTCTTATGCAATATTCTATTAGTCAAAAACTTTTTGGTGCACATGTACTTGGTAAGTTAAGTCTTTACTTATTTATTTAAACAAACACTTTTGTTAATCCTAATAATAATAATAATAGTAGTAGCGGTGCCAAATTGTTTGAGCTCCCCTGGTTCAATGATAGAACGCTCACCAACACTAACGCACAGCGTCAGGCTGATGGACTACTAAACCTCTTTTAACCGGTAATAAACTCGATAGAGATGAAAGGTTGTGCATGAGAGACTACCAACCCCATCCCATCTCGACAAATAGCTGCTACTTTGACGTGGTGGTCTGGCTTGAATATCACAAAGTTCTATGTCGAAAACAGACAGACATCACAATGACTCAATAATATACACTGACTGGAACTAGTGTTCCTGCAGGTCTTACCAGGAAAGATAGGTCGTTTAGATAGCGGTTAGACTAAAAGCAGTTACCATCAAAGTGTCAGTTACCATAGTTAAGGGATTGAGAGTGAAGTAAGTAGCGAAGTAGTAAAGTATTTACCTTTGACGACTACTAGGCCAGATATACTACCTTTCCGTTCTGTTGAGGGGAGCCCGGAAAGTATATATCTCGAATTAACTTACGGTGGTACGTAGCCGGTGGTAAGATCTGAATACAGGCCGTTTGTGACAGATCTCAAGCAGTCGTCGCTTTGGCTCTGTGGTCATGCAACTTAATCCTTATTCTGTTTCAGGAAAAAGTTGATCGTGCTAGATAAATATACTTCCTGATCGAAGAGTTTGAAAACATTCTTCTACGGAGTTGTTGGAATATGCAGACGATATAGTCCTTCTAGGCGAAGACGCTGACAAAATGCAGAGTCTTCTGAACACACTGAGCCGCAATCTACGAATGTTTGGCATGCGATTCGCTCCCGCCAAATGCAAGATGATGTTACAGGACTGGACTACATCGACGCCTAGTTTAAAAATAGGAAGTGAAGTGGTAGAGCACGTTGACCGCTTCACTTATTTGGGAAGTACCATCAGCCAACTCCAACGGGCTGATCTCTGACGAAATCTCAGCACGAATACAAGGGGCTCGTTCCGCATTTGCCAGTTTACGCCGACTCTGGCGTAGACGAGATGTTCGACTATCGACCAAAGGGCGGGTGTATTGCTCATCAGTCCGCTCCGTCCTCCTTTATGGCCAGCTGTGAGACCTGGCCACTGAGAGTGGAAGACATGAGAAGACTAGCTGTGTTTGATCATAGGTGCCTGCGCTCTATTTCCCGTGTAAAATGGCATAATAAGGTGAGCAACATGGAGGTTAGGCGTAGAGTTCTAGGTAAACAGGGGAAATCAATCGACGAAGTCGTGAAGCTACAAAGACTGAGATGGTTAGGACATGTGTTACGTATGCCAAGCCATCGCCTCCCTCGACGAGCAATGTTAGCGGATATAGGGTCAGACTGGAAAAAAGCTAGCGGCGGTCAAACAAAAACTTGGCACCAGTCAATGAAATCCACAACAGTTGGTCTAAGCCACGTAGAAAGGTGTAGACTTCCAGGCTGGGGTCCTCGGGACGGTAAAAATCTATGGTTGGAAACAATTGGTGACATGGCTCAAAATCGTTCTCAGTGGCGCAGATGCATCCACTCCCTGTGACTTATGATCTTCAATGAAACTGTTTTGTATTTCTTTATTACTCCTCCTTTGTCTCACCCCTCTGCTCACAGTTTCTATTATGCTTTTCTTATACTTTCTTCTCTTGCTTCGCGTGCTACACGGAGTGTAGCGACTTGAACTTCCGCACATTTGTGCAAAGTTCTATGTCGAAAACAGACAGACAGACAGACGGAGTTGTTGTATATTTTCTAGAAAATGTTTTATTACCTCACTTTTTTGAGTCTTTTTTTCTCGTTTCATCTTGTACTTTCTCACCTTGTTTTTAAAAATTTCTGTTTATACTGTTACTTGTATTTTTACCTTTTCCTCTTTTCTCAATGTCTGTCTCCCTGCTGCTCTGTGTTATTTAATAAATCGATCCGATCGAGGCAAATAAGATTTGATCGTTATCAATCATTTCACAGCTTCATTTTTACTTGATTTCTTTGCCAACTCAGTGTACTAACTAGTGTCTAATTAAAGCACCTACAGGAGGACAACCATCAATCTGAATGGCTCAGTCGTAGAATCTCTGACTGCAGCGCTGGGCTCGAATCTCACAAGATACTTGAGTTCCCTCATGTTGGTGGATACACCTTGCTGACTGGTGAGCGCCTAAGTCCAAGGCTTCCTGTGGCCGATTGCCTCCAACTATCTAACAAGGAGAGGTAATTATCTGCTGGTAATATCGTTTGAGTTGATCTTGAGTTAGCAGACTTTCCACTGCTCCCTAGACTAGTAATTCGGAGGCAATGAGTTCGAACCTTGCCACGACCCCGATTTTTCCCTCCGCCCCTAATCATCACCCACTGATATATACAGACGTAATTTTCTACATGTCATTTTTACATGTATGTTTGTATTTCTCTCACCACACGTACTGATTTATGACCAGATTTTCTCTCATGCTACTTATGACCTTTGAGATCCTATTGGTTGCTCATTGTCTTAGTTTATCAATGGCATCAGTGATTCTCAAGGTCATTTTAAACATATATACGCAAGCACTGTCGACCTTATATTTGACTGCTGTTTTGAGACGATGAAAAGCTCTCTCATCAAGGTCCAGTCTTTCTTCTATCTTTGCCACCTGGCGGTATTATTATTGTTGTTGCTGTTGTCGTGCGATTAGGACAGATAAAAGCCAGCCCATTAAAGTTAGTATTCTCTCAGAGTCTACTAGGTCATAGTTCCGGTTATAACACCCACTACATAAATATACAGCTGTTCGGTCTATACAAACAACTCTCTGCAAGCCGATTGGCTAGGTTTCAACCAATTAGACTGATCCTTGTAAAATCTTATCTACTGTCGTGTATTAAAGTCGTCTATTAATCCTCGTGTATTTTTTCATTTATGATGACACGCAGATGAATACAGGCGCACACCTTCATATCTCATTATTGTTACTGAGCTCCTTTTTTTCTTCTTTCAATTTTGACAGGTTTATCTCAGGGAAGTGTTTCTGATTTGCTAGCTCGACCAAAACCGTGGAAATCGTTGACACTAAAAGGTCGTGAACCATATATAAGAATGCAATTATTTTTAAATGATCCTGATAGTGTCATAAAACTGTTACAGTCGTGTAAGTTTCTGAGTTGTATTTAGTTGAACATAAGATTGAGTCTGCAATAGTAGAGACAACATTGATAACTATTTGGTTATTATCCAGTCTTGTGTACGTTGCGTCAACAGACTGGATAGCTTTGTCAGTACTTTTACTTTTTCCACATTGTCACCTAACGTCATTTGGTAAACTTTACCATCAAATATTCACTAACTGACTGAGTGCGTTAGTACTAAAGTACAACAGTTCAAATTGCCACACTTCATTTAGTATGTAAAGGAACTTTAATCAATTTACGGGAAGAGGAACAGGTATATAGGGAAAAATGAAAATTCAACCCCATTGAGAACGATTTTGAGCTAAGTCACCAACAGTCTTCGGTTTTCAGAGTGTTTGAGGACCCCAGTTATATAATATACACCTCCCTCCCTACGTGGCTCAAATAATCTTCCGTAAGTCTTTCCCAACCTAATCTCTCACGTCAGTTAACCTTGTTTGACAAGGGAGGCTATGGCTCACTATTCGCACACTGCGTTCTAGCTATCTCAATGAATGCAGCTTCACAAATTCTTCGATTGGCTTTCCCTCCTTACCTAGCACTATGCCTAGTCTCACTATTATCCACTATATTATGCCACTTAATATGGGAGGTAGAATACAAACACCTATGGCGAAAGACGGAGAGTCTCTTTGTGTCTGTTACTTTTGATGGTGATATCTCAGTCATAAAAAAGAACACAATGAATAGCTGCACAGTACACATGTCTTTTAATCGGAAACCGAATATCATATCTACGCCAGAAATCCCCATTGAGTCATATGAAAAAGAGAAGACGTCCAGCGAAGAGACTCTTTTCGGCGAATTCATTCACATAGCTGTACAATCCCATTTATATGTAATTGTTTGTGTGTGTACATGAGGTTTGTCAAGTTTAGATAATTACCTCTGTTGCTACCCTGACCTAAGTTGAAACATTTTAGTCAATTATATTACGTCATCTAACTTGCTAACTAACCAATCTTACTTTAGTTGCAGTCTGATTAACCTTGTTTCTATATTAGATCGTTCTTGTATTACCTGATCAATTGTCTAAACTTGACAAACCTCATGTACACACACACACACACACAAATAATTACATATAAATGGGATTGTACAGCTATGTGAATGAATTCACCGGCGAAAAGAGTCTTCGCTGAACGTCTTCTCTTTTTCATACGCCAGAAATCTCGTAAATTCGCAAATGACACACTAACCTTTCATAACCATGCCGACGCTTCTATAATAATCAGTCCATTAGAGCTGGAGTAGTCAACAACCTCAACTATTTTACTTTCTATCATTAAACTGAGAGTGGATACAGACCAATCTTGTAACATAATCTTACATTTGACTGAAGTGAATCGCATGCGAAATATTCGGAAGCTTTTGCTCAAGATGTTCAGAAGACCCTGTGTATTTTATCTGCGTCTTCACCTAGAAAGATCATATCATTAATCCCTGCGTCGCTAAAGTCGACAAGAAGAATCTCATCGATTAGTAAATTATACTATAATAAAGTGAATTTTCGAGTTTGTCTCTGTATGACACTGGTCATCAATCCAATGTCAGACCGTCAAGTGGGGGAAGTCATTTATTTCTCAATATATATATATATAGTGTTATTGACTATAGAATCTTAATAAAAATTTCTATGTTTTTCTCCTTTATATTATTACTGTCTTGTTTCTTTCTTTATTGATTTTTACTAATATCTCTCTCTGTCTCTATCCCACTCTCCTATTATTGATTATTGTCTCTTCCTTCATTTATAATTGACAAATGTAACTGTTAAACAGATGGGTAGGTAGAGACAGATACATAAGATAGATGGATGGATGGATGGATATATATATATATATATATATATATATATATATAGGGGAAAATTTTTATCAATAAAAAGCAATCAATAAAAATGATCAAAAATAGAAATTTTCTCTTATTATTATTATTTCCTAAATTCGTTTAATGCACACCTTTTTATATTTTTCTCTATAGTTAGATAGAGATAGCTGAAAAAGGTATATTAAAATTGTATTTGAATGTTTTTACGTGTTGAACATTACAGTATGCATTGCAGACAACACTTCCGTCAACCTTACTCCACAACAACTACTACTACCTATATAATGACGTGTTGATTGTGTTGCATACTCTGCTTGGTGGATGGTGACTAACCGTGAACCTCAGGATGCCCATTTCAATCTATTTGAGACTTGTTAGTTGAATGTACCTGTAATTCCCCAGTGAATGACGGTGTTTCCATCGTTTCAAACGCCACTAGACCACTTGGGCCATAAGAACAACTTCTTTGTGTTAAGAGTTTGTGTCTGAATCATGGACACAATGTAGGCTGGAGTTCTGTTCAGTTTAACCCCCCCCCCCCCCTCTATTATGCATTTTAGTTGACTGTTTAATTTACTTTGAAAGTGAATAGTTTTTACATCTGCTATCGTTCACTTGATAGTCAATGTCGTGTGGAAGACTGTTTCACCGTATAATAAGAACTTGTTGTCGATTTTGTTTATTCTCCGTTACACTTTCTCCTTCATAATGAAATGAATGCTTTTGTTTTAAAGGGATTATTGCGTATGATAAGGAGATTTAGTATGTATGTATGAGTTGTTGAAGTCTGTATATGTTCACTCATATAACGTTTCCAAAAACCGTGGAGATTTTCAGAGATTTCTGGCTTTTTAAAACATGACTCTTTATACTACTGATATATTGATATGAGTAGTAGTTGGACACCACTCACATCAACCAGTAGTGCTTGTTAGGCATATCAAATTGATCTAAAATAGCCGGATAGTTGTTTTGTTTCTTTGGGGCTGATGCCATCAAACGGTTTACCCGGCTTGAATCAGCTTGGAGTCACCCGAATTCAAACTAGCTGGCTACTTGAATAAACTGTTAATACATTGATATGAGTGGTAGTCAACCATTACTCTTATCAGTCAGTTAGTAGTGTATATATATTCATAGCGTCATGTATTTGCGCTTGCTTTCTTGAGTGTGAAATTTATTGTATCAATCAGATCACGCATGCTGTGATCTCAATAATACTTTCAGTTTCTCATGGGAGCTGTGGTGATGTTTCACCTAGAAGTGTACTACTTGCATATCACGAGTTAATTTTCAAACTGTGGATTTGATTATTATTATTATTATTAAACCACAAACATGGTACTTTCTGGGCACCAAGAGATATGTCACAGAAGATCTCATAGTTTTTGCAATTGCTGGTATACTGTTGAGACCGAAGCATCAGATTGTCTTAAAGGGGCCACTCTTCACCAAGTCTTTGACTTGAGCTGTATTCCCATAGTCTCTGGTAACCAAAATAGGTTCATACTCCATTCGATTTTTTCGGATCGGGGAGTCCTTGTGCACCATAAGCTTAGAACTAGGGTTTTCCATCGCTTTTAGGTCGATGTGTATGTTCACCAGTCAGTCCTGTTGTAAGCGCCAAACTTTTTTGTATGCCCTTTCATTTTTGTGAGGAACACTGCCGCCACGTGAAGGTAGTGAATAGGAGGCTATCAATGCGTGGTGACATGAGAACATTTTGAGAGGAATACGATAGTTGATCCATCTTCTGCCGTTTGACTCCTACTCACTTATTTTAACTGTTCTATCAAATTAGATTCTTACTCAGTAATTTATTTCTCTTCCTTTTTTTCTCCTTAATTATAAAAGCTGCTGTCGCCTCACAGTCATCTACAATGACAACAACCACAACAACTAGTACTACTACTACTGCTTCTGCTGTTATTCCTACTATGCCAAAATTATCTCCAAATGCACCAATATTTGAATCAACTACCGCCGGTGGGAGTATCAGTAGTAGTACATATGTCAGATCGAATTCTAGTCTATCACCTGAACCTTTACTGGATCAAGAACGTTATACTTTCCAATCGGATTATATTAATGGTAATTCATTACATGATAATTTGCTGAATAGTATATCAGTGTTTAAAAAAATACCTTTGAATTCATGGTTAATTCCTTAAGTAGATTATTTTCTTTTTTTTAAATTCCAAGTGTTTGATAAGTGATTTCTCCAACCTCCGCGCCCCCCCCCCTACACATAGACGCACACAATTAAGTCGATATATAATGAAGGTCTGTTGAAAAATTTTAATCTGTGGACGAATATTTCATTCTCTACTAGATCTCATCAGAATCTCGTGCTCATTGTTAACTATGGTTTTCTGCCTAATTTGATAGTGAAATCGTTAAAGTTTTGATTAAGTGGTTTTCAGCTATGCGTTTTTAGAGAATTGCTTTGCAAAGTTCGATGTCATCAGCTCTGCAGGAGCGTTTAAAAAAGTAGATGCACTTAGAGTAGAATATAATCTAACTTATACATGGTATTCTTAAGCCGGAGTATGCTTAAAGGAGAAATGTCTGTCTGTTTTCGACATAGAACTTTGCACAAATGTGCGGAAGTTCAAGTCGCCACATTCCGTGTAGCACGCGAAGCAAGAGAAGAAAGTACAAGAAAAGCATAATAGAAACAGTGAGCAGAGGTGTGAGACAAAGGAGTAATAAAGAAATACAAAACAGTTTCATTGAAGATCATAAGTCACAGGGAGTGGATGCATCTGCGCCACTGAGAACGATTTTGAGCCATGTCACCAATTGTTTCCAACCATAGATTTTTACCGTCCCGAGGACCCCAGCCTGGAAGTCTACACCTTTCTACGTGGCTTAGACCAACTGTTGTGGATTTCATTGACTGGTGCAGCCAAGTTTTTGTTTGACCGCCGCTAGCTTTTTTCCAGTCTGACCCTATATCCGCTAACATTGCTCGTCGAGGGAGGCGATGGCTTGGCATACGTAACACATGTCCTAACCATCTCAGTCTTTGTAGCTTCACGACTTCGTCGATTGATTTCCCCTGTTTACCTAGAACTCTACGCCTAACCTCCATGTTGCTCACCTTATTATGCCATTTTACACGGGAAATAGAACGCAGGCACCTATGATCAAAGAGCTAGTCTCTTTTCTCCATCTCTGTGTACACCTACTGTTCCACATGCTCCTATTCCACTGGTTACATTTGATGCTGTAAGCGAGTAGTTCTTCGGATACAGTTTACTTGATAAAAGGCAAACATAAGATGGCAAAATATTCTAGTTGTGTACACCTTCTTCAGTTAATCCACTCAGTCACTCTAAAAGTTTATGTTTTCATCACCTATGTAGAAATATGTGGGTAACCTTAATCTGAAATTACTGTACCACTGGTCATAGGTAATATTCCTTTCAACTAATTCTACTCCATTTCACTTTATCTTCGCTTTTACTATTATTGTTGTTATTATTATTATTATCACCAACGTAATAATTTTAATTTTTGACACCATCTGACTCATTTTAAACCTGATAATACCAGGTTCGATCCCCTTCCGACGCATACCTGATATCTATGGTCGGCCTGCAAAATTTGGGCTACCGATATCTATGCTGAAAATTCCATACTTGTACCAAAAATATAGTGTGGAATCAAGCTGTAATCAAAAAATAATAAATTCACTTCTTTAATATTTCTTTTGTAGTTCTGTAATTTATCCACACTTAAACTCTTCATTCTTCGCATTCTGAGTGAAACATAGGGCTTCAAGCTTTCGAAGTTTTAGTAGCGGTGGATGCGGTTGCTAGCCTCACACTACAACCTGCCCTATCTCACGAATCTAACTACTGGTTGGATAAGGTCTAAGAGTAGGAATCGAACCTTAGACTTTTCGTGTGGGGCTTGCAAGCATTCTACTCCCCCCCCCTTCCTCAACTCCCGACCATAAAAAATCATGAATAGGACTGTACAGCCCTAAAATGAAGTTGATGAAAGGAATTATTTCTACTGCGAAGAAATCTTTATTGTTATTCGTCATTCATGCTGCAAGTAATAACGTTGATTTTTGATAATTCGTCTTCAGAATAAAATGTCTACTTATTTCGCATTGATGTCAGCTGAAAGCCTATTTAAAAAAGTGGTGGGCTCTATATGATAAGGCGCTTTTGTCCTAATTTGGAACTCATCGGTCATACTTAGCTAATTTTCTAGATACGGTTAAAGGCAAACACTTGAGATCTCTTAATCAGTTACTCGGTTGAAATGTGATAACTCATACTTGCTAACTGCAACTAGTGTCCTTGATGGAGCACAGAAATTACTCAACAACATTCCTTGTGTATGTGTGTGTGTGATCGTCAACAAGCAGTTGTCATCTTACCTCTACTCTCAGGCAACATTAAATCTCTTTCTGTCAATATTCGGAAGTATACATAGGATCACACAATACACGCATATGAGTATAATATGTATGACTTAAAGTGCAGAATACTAACCTCAGTGTAGTTATCAAGTTGAATTCCACTAATATCTGATGGCAACTCTATATCGTGAGAATTAACAGAAGTTGAAACTCACAAGCCATTGGATTCCGATTTGACAGTTGAATGACCAATTGAGAGCCATCTCGCAATCTTTAAGGTTCAGGATTCAATCCTGAATGGGTTTAATAATAAAAAGACAGTATGCGAATATACGGTACAATAATTTACAGCTTATTCAGTTCCAAAGTACTTTTTTCTTCACACAGGATTCACATGTAAATTAATAATCTGAAGTATATCTTCATTTCGTTGAAGAATTGTACACCGTTTACTTGGGAGCAAGTTATATCATCGCGAAAGTTTATGTATAGGTCATTTGATATAACTGGACGATTAAAACAATGATAAATCCAGATGAAATTAAGCATTTTGGAAGAAAGTAATTTCGGTAGCCCAATGATTTAAGCAGGCCGCCTTTGTTGGTATGCCCCGTCTTAAGTGTCCTAAACTGCCATAGAATATTTGCCCCTATATTGCTCTTTATCGTTTCCAATGATTCTCTGTGTTGATGTATGTTGATTCTCAATGAAATTAGTTTCTAACTGTTTATTCCATTTGTCTTTTCCCCTTTTTTCTTCTTTTTCTTTATTTACAGGTACATATCATAATGTAAATATGCTATCATCAAATCAATCTGAATTAGAAATTAACACAAATATTCATGCCCAACAACAACAGCAATCTACCGATCAAACAACAGAATTGTATGATACACAATATTATGCTAATGGACAATCTTTAAATTGTACCATATTTGAACCAATTACAAGTCCATCTGGTTCACCGACACCAAATTCTATACAAAATGATCATTTTAATGAAAATGATAATATGCTGACAACAATAATTAACAATGACAATAATAATAATAATAATTGTGGTAATAATAATTATAATAATAATAATTCCTATCAAAGACCATCATCAAAACAAGTAATGGATTTGGCAACATCTATCACAGATATGGATACAACAGCTATGTGTAGTAAGATAAAAGAGGTAAGGGTAGACATATATCGATTGTTATTATTATTTTTCTATTATTCTCAATGATGTAAACGTAATCTAATATGTTATGATTAATGTGCGTCAATGCTTCAATGAAAGGAATGCCAGCCAGTAGAAGTAGTCACCCAAGAGTGGTCTGGGTTTGATTTCTTCGACGGATGCACTCATAAGCTTCACCTTGTTTATTAGCCGGTAGTCAAGTGTTGGTTTGTAGGAATTTGATTGGTTTCAGGATTTCATCATGAGCTGACATTAGTTAGAGAACCATCGGAAAACCTGGGAGTACTGGACAGCTGTTTCGTTCTGGTTTGGGACTCTTCAGCAGTACGCACCCACCGACAGGGTTCGAACCGAGGACCTTCCGGTTACAAGGCGAGCTCGTATACCATTAGGCCACTGGGACCCGATCCAATGGCCAGTCTATGAATTCTAACTTGTGCCAATTCACGACATAGCACGACCGCTAGGTATACGAGCTCGCCTTGTAACCGGAAGGTCCTGGGTTTGAATCCCGGTGGGTGCGCACTGATGAAGAGTCCCAAACCAGGACGAAACAGCTGTCCAGTACTCCCAGGTTTACCAATGGTTTTCTAACTAATATTAGCCGGTAGGTTATAAAATCCAGGAAAAGTAAAAAGTTGAGTGACAGGTTTCAACATAAAACTTTATGCAGATATGCAGTAGTTCAAGTCGCCATACTCCCTCCATGTAGCACACAAATTAAGAGAAGGAAGTAGAAGAAATGCATAATAGAGATAGTTAACAGAGGTGTGAGACAAAGGAATAGTAATAACGAAGAACAATAGAGTTTCATTGGAAATCATAAGTCACAAGGAGTGGATGCATTTGAGCCAACCATTGAGAACAATTTTAAGCCACATCACCAATAGTTTCCAACCATCGGTTTTTACCGTCCCGAGGACCCCAACCAGGAAGTCTACACCTTCCTACGTGGCTTAGACTAACTGTTGTAGATTTCATTGACTGGTGCCATGTTTCTGTTTGACCTCCGCTAGCTTTTTTCCAGCCTGACCCTATATCCGCTAACATTGCCCGTCAAGGACGGCGATGACTAGGCATACGTAACACATGTCCTAACCATATCAGTCTATGTAACTTCACAACCTCGTGGATTGATTTCCCCTCCTTACCTAGTACTCGACTGATGCCTAATCACAATATTGCTCATCTTATTATACCACTTCACACGGGATAGAGCACAGGCATTTATGATCAAAGACAACTAGCCGGTCTTTTCATGTCTTCCACTCTCAGTGACCAGGTCTCACAGCTAGCCATAAAGGAGGACGGAGCGGACTGCTGAATAGTTCACACACCCTTTGGTTTGGGGCTAGCAACTACATCCTGTAAAAGAAACAACACCACGTCAAAGCTTCGAATCCTGTATTTCACTTGGAACGCAAGCTGTAATGGCATGGTTTTGTGATTTTATAAAACGATGCATTCCAAACGCCTCACTGATAAACTTAGTTAGAAAAGATCAGAACAGCAACAACAACCACTACTGTGTATATTATGATATCTGCTACTGGTTGTGTGGAACATTTTTTTGGGGTTGTTGTATTTTGTGAGTTGAATGGCTTTATTGGGAAAGTTCCATTGCCGATCTAGACTACCATCATCTTCTGTGCTAACTTCAATTTAGATACTACAACACTGAAAACACCTATCTAACATGTAAATCTTTTTTAGCGTTTCATAAATTATTGTGAACTGTTTTGAGCTGATTATTTTGTTTAGGAATACGTTTTTTTCTTGTAGTCTATCTAAGATAACAGACGTTACATTGTCAGTAGTCATATTGGGTATTAGATTAATTTGTAAGAATTTGATTGGTTTTAAGTTTGGTCATGGATTAACATCAGTTAGAGGACTAACTAAGATCCCGCGTTCTCTATCCGATGGGGTCATGGTGTGTACTGGTAAAGAGTCTCAAACTAAGACAAAACTCCTCCAATACTACCTGGGCTTTTAACTGATTTCAACCTGTGGTCAGACTTGAAACCAGTCAAATCCCTACAGATTAATCTAATACCCACTAATGACTTACCACAGGGAGAAATTACCTCGCGTTCTCGCGTAAAGTCATGACTTATGTGGTCGACTAGGTTGGATATAAGAACATATACTCATTGACGACAGTGGCATATCTCGCGGCTTAAGATCACGAATTGGCGAAGTTATAATTCACGAGTCATTGAATTCTGGTCCAAGTAATAGAATGGTCAGTGTGCTTGCGTTGTAATCTGAAGGTCCAGGGTTCGACCCTTGGGCGCGTACTGCTGAAGAGTCCCAAACTAAGATGAACGTAGTTATAGGAGATGAAAACAGCTACTACTACTACTACTACTACTGCTATTCATATCATGATATCTGTTGTCCAGTACTCCAGGATTTTGAATGGTTCTCTAACAGATGTTAGTTCTTCATCAAACTTGATGTACTCATATCAAATTGATTTCCCCATCTATTGGTCCTTTTAATATCTTATGAATATTGATGGAGTTTTGATCAGTAATGGATTGATTTCTTCACGAATCTTATGTTATATGGTCCAACTGCATTAAAGCTTTCAACAAGCTCACCTGCCAGTTTGCTCAGACGTATATATGTACGTGGTCATACAGTGTTTATGAGTATACAATCCTCATCCTTATGACTAAATGGTGAATAGTTATTATGCAACTAAAATATTTGAAAAACTAAACTGCTTTACTGTCCAACTAAAAGTTACTGATGAATAGTAAAGGTATGTGCATTTATAGAAGCGTGTGGGGTGGTTTTCAGTGTTGCATGACCAGAGACCTCAGGTCACACATGACCTGGTTGGGGTGCATTTTGCGAGTTATGTCCGCATACAGATCTTAACACTGCAAGATAAGTCGGTATATATAGTTTTCGACTTTTTCTAATCCACCCCACTCTTCAGAGCTAAGAGTCAGCACAGCTGGCTTGCTGGTCGTTCGAGGGAAAAACCCTACTTATTCACCAGCTGTACGACCTCACACTCAGACACCTAACATAACGTGAGTAACTTACACTGACGGTAACTATCTTTACTCTAACATCTATTCAAATAACCTTCCTGGCATGTTAAATCCTGCAAGAACATTGGTCTTGGTTTGTGTAGCTCGCTGGATCATTGTGATGTTGTTCAAGCCCGATAGCCACATCAAGGTGACAGCTATCTATCTATTGTCCTTAATATACCGTAATAAAACATCGTTATATAAAAATTCTTTTGCCTAATTGGTTTAAACCGAGCAAAAATAATATTTCCTTTAATTTCATAATATTTGTTACAAATAACTACAGCTATTGCAGCGTCATTCAATACCACAACGATTGTTTGGTGATGTTGTTCTCGGTATGTGTCAAGCATCTGTCAGTGATATTCTATCTAAAACTCGTCCATGGTCTCAACTATCGAATAAAGCAAGAATACCGTATGTACGTCTGCATTTATGGTTACAAGAACCTGATCATTTGGAGATATTAAAATCTGCTCAGGCAAATATCAAATGTAAGTCATCTGACCACATATATATGTGTGTGTTTTTCTTTTCAATGTTTTATTTATGTAAACATATTGTTTTCGTGAAAATAACATGATATTTTCAGTTGTTTCATTTTTATTTTTTGTTTTTGTTTGTTTGTTTATTTGTTTATTTATTTCACCACACACACACACACACACGACCTAGTTTACCTGACAGAGAAGAGATATTGCCTCAGTTCTCTTTAATAATGAATGAATAATGGAACGGAATGAATAAGAGACAATTCTCTAGTCGGTGGTTGTGAGAATGGTAGTCAATTGCTAGCCAACCTTGCACACACACAGTTTTGGTTTGATTCCTCCGTCCGATACTCTGCTGAACCCTTCATCTTGTTTACCAATCTATAGAAAGCCTGGGAAATAGGAAAGGTTGGGATTGAGGCTAGCAACTGAACACCTCGTATAAAAACACAACATCACTGGTACTGAAACTTCAAAAGCTTGTTCCACTCGGGACACACGTAATAGAGACAAAGACAGTTCTCAGTAATCCCTAAATTTCAGCAAGTGTAAAGAGAATGATAAGTTGGAAATGAAATATTTTCTCTACTTCAACCTAGCTAGCCAAAAAAGACGGTAACAGAGATAGTTGATATTTCACCAGAAAATTGGGCATTACTATTTTTCCCTTGAGTTCCGAGTGAAACATAGGACTTCGACAACACATCTTCGCTTTGTTCTATTTAAAGCTGTACTCTTCAGCTGGGTCCATGTATGACCATAATCTCTCATCTCCTCCATGTCCCCCTCTCACTGACGACCCACTCGTCGCTACTTCCCATTGAGACTGTACTGAAGCGATGGCTTACATTGCGCGCGATGTAATTCCATGGCCTACTCAACGTATGCCCGATCCATCCCCATTTTCTCCTACACATTTGTTGGGCGATCAACTCTTTCTTGTTGGTTTGTTGCCAGCCAGAGTTTCTTGTTCAATTATGGGTAAATTTTGTTTTGATAAAGTCTCACAGTGTTATACAGTAATGTCATCAGTAAACATTACTGTATAACACTGTGAGACTTTATCAAAACAAAATTTACCCATAATGGAATTACACTCTACCATAGTGCACAAGTTTTATTCTTATATCAGAGTTTCTTGTTGCTAATTCTTTCTGGCCGGCTGTCCGTTTGATCTTCAGTATGGAACCAGAGAAGGTTGGCACCTGTTGAAAAAGTCTGCAGCTGTCCGTTGGAAACTCTTTTTATGACTCACGCGCAGTGCAAGTTTCTGACCCGTACAGAAGAACTGACTGATAGACTTCACATTTGTGTTGAAAATCCAAATTTTGTTCTTTATGCTAGCTGAGTGCAGTGCAGAAGATTTCCAAGCCGATTTCAAGTTGATGAAGGTGTATCTTGCCTTTCCGATTCTGGCTAGCTGACTTTGACATCTTCATCCGTTCCGACTGCCCGTAGTTGAAATGATGCTAGATAAGTAAAGGAGGTAACCTCTGCCAAATCCCTCGCTATGACGGTGATTGGTTCTGGTCGGTGTTGTTGGTTGGTTGGTTGGTTATCTTCATCACCTCCGTCTTCTCTATGTTCACCTGAAATCCTTTTTCTCCTGCTGCTTCTTCAGCCAGTTTTGTTCGTTTTCGCCTGGAAGTCTTCGAGCTTATGTGACATTAAACATAAACCATCTGCGAAATCCAGCTCTTCTATAGTCTTCTTATCGGTAGTCCAGCGTATTCATGACTCCTTGCTCCCATGCTCAGTCTGATACATAATCCAGTCCACTACCACAATTGAGAATATCGTCGGTGATAATAGACAGCCTTGTCTCACTTATGTATTCACTTCGAACGCCTCGCTGAGTTTCCCGGTGTGGGTCACTTGACACGGAGCATTGGCATGTAGCCAGCTGTTGAACAAGGTTGATAAAGACTTGAGCACAGCACGCCTTAGTGTTGAAGTAGTTTCCAGATTACTTATCGGTCAACGCTATCGAAGGCCTTTTTGAAATCGATGAAGTTGAGATGGAGTGAGATCTGACTGCCATTCTATGCTTTTTTATGTGACGACGATGGGTAGAATTGGAATTTGATTAGCACATGATTTGCCTTTCCTGAATCCAGCTTGTTCCTGTGGGCAGAGTTCTATATCCAGTTCATCCTTTATTTTCTCCAGGCTGACTCGACTTAGTACCTTACTTGGTGTGGCCAACAGCATTATTCCACACCAGTCAGTTCTTTCAGATGAGAGGCCTTAGCCGCCCTTCTTTGGTAGTTTGACAAGGTAGCCGGGCTTTCTTCTAATCGGTAGTCACCTTTCCTTCTTTCCAAACGTTTTGCAGTAATGGAGTGAGAACATCACCCGTAATCTCTGGGGCCGTTTTCAGTGCTTCCAGAGGAATTCTGTCTGGTCCTGCTACCTTCCCGGACTTTAGTAGCTTGGTCGCATTCAGGATTTCTACTTTCGTTGGAGGATTGGTGTCAACTAGCAGGCAGTTCTGTGCATGCTGTTAGTGGTTGTGGTATTTCTGGGCGAGTTGCAAATGATGGTCTATGCAAAAGTCCTTTGAAGTGATCAGCCCATTGTTTTATTTGTTCCTCCCGTAAACATCTTTTATTGGTTTCATCATCTGGGTTGATCTCTTTCCAGATGGAGACCTGGTTATCTGATATAATGTTATCAGGTCTCTTTTACCTGCAGCCTGCCTGTTATACTTCAGTTGCCAGTGTGTTGTAGAACTGTCGTTTGTCTTTCCTAGCATTTTTCTTCACTTGTATATTCAGTGCAATCTACACTGAACTCAGCTTCTCCTTCTGTTGTCCATCTTTGCATTGAGTCATCTTCTCTTTCACCATCCTCCTCTCTTCTATCAGCTTCTAGATATCCGTTGAGAGCCATTCCTTGTCTTGTCTCTTCATTCTTCTTAGGACAGCTGTACACGTTTCCTTGAACATCACCTTCAGAGAGTTCCAGTTTTCTTCCTCACAGGTCTGCTCAGTGATACAACGTAGTGTCTCTGACTTTGCTCTAATATTTGTAGTGAAAGCATTTCTTGTAGTTTTGTCCTTCAGTTTCTGAATACTTAACTTGAATTGTGGCTTGTCTCCAGTTGTTCTGAAGGATTTCAGTTTCATCTTGAAGGTTCCTTGAACTAGGGATGATGGTCTGAGCCCAAATCTGCTCCCCTTCTCGACTTTGTATGCAGCAAGCTGCGTCTCCACTTCCTTGAGCAGTATTAAGATGATTTTTATCTGGTTTGTGGTGTCTCCGTCAGGCGAAGTCCATGTTGCTCTGTGTATATCCTATACATATACTTTGGTGGGACACTAGGTATTAATTAATATCACGCGTTCAGTCCTTCGTTTGCTGCAGAGTGAACTGCGGCTCACCATTACTGTGCATTCTGAATTCTTGTCTGTTGGTTAGAGGTAATCGACAGGGAAGCCTTGGACGTAAGTTTCATGTTTGTTGGTACTCATCAGTCAGCAAGGCGTATCTGCGATCTTGAAGGAAACTCATCTCTGTTTTTAAATTCGAACTTGGATCACCCAGTGCTGCGGTTGGAGATGTTACCACTGACCTCCTAATGGACTTTAATGGGCACCTTGATTGAACACTACTTTGTAGTAACTGAATTCATGTAAGCCCGAATACCTTAGTGGTAACACATCTGACTGCAACAGTACTGGGTGACTCAGATTCGTACCTCAGAAGGGCACCTAAGTTCCTTCAAGACTGCAGATGCACCTTGGTGATTGCCAGTAAACACAAAACCTAGGTTCAAAGCTTCTTGCCAATTTCCTCTAACATCTAATGTATCCGCCGCATAACTGACCTTTATTGTAACGACCACAAATATAATATTTTATAATTGTAAGAACCTGAAGAGAAATTACTGAAAAGAATATTCTTCGTTCAGATTGACTTTTAATTCATAATATGAGAATATTTCACACTATCACATCTAACATCAATTCAGAATATATATATATATATACTTTTTATTTTCGGTTGTATTTTGGGGATGTAGCCTGTCCAATCAGTCTGTTCCTAGTTCAAATCCTGCCCCCCACCCTCAATTCAGCCTACGTAACATAATAGAGTATCACCAGTCCTCACACACAATAAATTTTATGGCTTGTAGTCTGGTACATGGAAAATCTTTTACCACGAGTGATTGAGTTTTGGAGATAAAGAAAAATCCCAAGAAAAGTAAAAACTAATTTTTAACTTGGTCGTTTACACACACATACACTTCATCCAAGTCATATTCTACTATTTAACAGATAATCAATTAACTAGTACAGTGGAATATAATACCCCCATATACATTACCAAACAAAAATGTTATTTCATCATATGACGTGCCTTACACACGCTATTTGTATACGAATAAGTCAATAGTTGGATAATATTTCACTCATGATATATATATATATATATATATATATGTTAACTCTCTATTGAACAGTTCAATGATTTCATTTCTGATCAATTAATCGATATTCCTCGGGGTTTTTTTCTCTGTTCGCGCCTGTCTTCTATTTTATTAATTGGTTTTTCCAAAAAAACAAGAAGTATGTGTAGGATAAAGGTTTAAAGGGTGGGTTAATGTATATATTAATCCCTAAATCAATAACTTCATGCCACTGTTGTATACATATGATCCTTTTCTCTTCCTTGGGAAACATAAGCTTCCAAACTGTTGAAGTTTCAGTACAGTTGGTATTCGTTTTTCTAGCCTCTCACCCAACACCCATTCATTTTTGGCTACTAGTAAAGTGTTTATCTGAACTCAGCTCCTGGAACAGGTCTTCCTAGTAATCCAAGCTATGAGTCACTCATTGTTTACGAGCTGGTGGTAGTACCCACTTGCCCAGGCTAATTCAGATGGAGTAGGATTCGAACCCAAGACCCACCAACCGAAAACTCGGTGCTTAAGCCAATCAATCATATCTTTGAGGCTAGTAAATTAGGTGAAGCTTTAGAGTGTACCACTCGGAAGGAATTGAACTCAGACTTTCGATGTAACTAGTGACTAATCTGCCACTCAACCACTAACGCACATCTTGTCGTACTATTTTTATAAGAAAATAAATGTGTTATGATGGAGCATTATTGGTTTATGAGGTTGCTTAACTGACTAAACAGACACAACATTATAACCAACCGATCACTTGAAAGTATCTTCTGTCTAAAGAGATGAACACAAAGGTCAGACTGAGAAGAACGACAACAACCTGTACTAGACAAACTAAATAGTATCATTATACTTAACAAATCCTCAGTAATTGAAGCCACGAATAAATAAACACATCCGATTGGTTATATATAACCACGGAAAATTAAGCCATAAATAAACGAATCAAAAATTGTCCAATCAGGTTAACATGTCACTGCATGCATAAAAGTCATGTCTTCATGGCTAACAAAGATGTTTAGTTATCCTAACAAAATTATCTTTGATTTTTATAGAAAAAGCACATTCACAAGGCAATACACACACTTCCTTAGTTACGTACCCATTAAATATAAAAGAAATGTTGTTAAAGGTCTTACGAACAGAGCAAGAAAGATATCTACGGCTGACCTCTTGCAAAAGGAATTTGAATATATTCACGATTCCTTAACGGAGATGGGCTATCCAAGTAGTTTCATAAAGAAACATATTAAAACATCAGAGAGAAAACCTGAGACTCTGACTGCACGTAAAAAGCCTCTATTTATTAAGTTACAATTTAATGGTGACTTATCTAGAGAGACTTTGTTCCAGAAACTTCCCAGGAGTATACGAAGAACGTTTTACGCAGCATACCTATGTTTGTCATTCTCTAGCCGATGAATGATTGGGACGCGAACGAAGGATAAGCTTGATAGTTTTGCCACATCTATGTTCATTTATCAGTTCAACTGCACCTGCAGTGACAGTTATGTTGGGCACACTACTACTAGACAGCTTAGCCAACGTGTTAGTGAACATCTCCCATCATGGTGGTTTGGCAAAGGACAGACAAAAACAATCTGTAGCTAAATTTTGTCACATTTAAATGATAGTGGTCATGTAGTGGAGAAAACGAGAGCTTTCAAAGTAATTCATCGCATCCCACCGAATCTTTCCAATAGACTTCGTATTCGTCTACTGTGCACACAGCTGAGACGATAGGCATTCGAACAACTATTAAACCTAAACTATGGATTCCAAAGAAGTTCTTACAGCCCTTATCCCTCCTTTGTTGGCCTATTAAGACATAACCAGCTGGTGACCTCTACACCACCCCTTGTTTATATTTTCAACCCCTTTCTTATCATCCCTTAGTCTTATCACATCTTCATTAAAAACGTGTCTGATTTACTTCCCTTGCAATCAGTCTAGCATTACTTAATCGGTTCATTTGTTTTTACTAGCCTTTGTCAACTACTTCCACCTGAACATTTGTTTGTTTGTTTAATCATGCTGTTTTTTCACTATTCGTGTTATCACAAATTACCTCACTTTTTTCATCCTTATTATTGATAAAGCCATTATTATTAGTAGTAGTATTAGTATTATTATAACTTAATTTGTATTGTCAATAAAAACTAACTTGGTTTGTTTTCTGGTTTTATACTTGCCTACAGCTGTTACACGTCCTAACAGCAATAATTCAAGATTGAATCAAGTATACTCCATGAATCTATCAAGTGAATCACTTTCAAATCATTATAATAATCATGCGTTAAATCTACCTGCGTCAGATTCATCTAATGGACAGTTTGCATCGATTACAGACGATACAGACATGATGTCTAGAGTCAATTCAGAGAATGATATCAAACCACAACAATATCAACAGTTGTCTTTACCATCGATGACACTGATGGCGACGGCGCCAACAACAACAGAAACGTCTGCTACTCCTACCTCCACTACCTCTGCAACAACTCGTAAACGTACTCCATCATCATCGTCGACGGCGTTTAGTAATCAAGAAAATAATAAAAGCAGTAAATTATTGAAAATTGACTCATTATCACAAATGACAGTATCTTCACCAAATAAGAATAATCATAGTAACAAGACGAAACAGACTACTAACAGTGGTAGTAGCAGTAGTACACAAGCACCCATAGATGATTTAAATGAAGATGAACGTCAAAGTTTATTTGATATAGCCAAGGCTGCAACAGCTGTAATGCTTTTAGCCTCATCAAATTCTAGTCCATATCGACAGAATAGAACAAGGCGAGCAAAAATGCCTATATCACCTATTCGTAAAAACAATAATAATAATAATAATAATAATAGTAATGTTAAATCAAAAGTAACAAGTCCAAATAGTAAACTTCATAGAAGTATTACTCCATCACAGAAGAAAGCGTTAATATCTGCGTGTAAAAGTCATGAGAATCTATCTAGTGATAAAATGAAATCACTTGCACAAGATTTATGTCTTCCTTATAAAACGGTTAGTTGTATTTATTTACTTGTTTATTGTATCTCACCATTTTCTTTTAATTATATTCCTTTTTTGTCTACACTTTGGCTTGTTTACATGATCCCGTTAGGTAAGGAGGGGAAGTCAATCGATAAAGTAGTGAAGTTGTATCGATTTAGATGGTTAGAATACGTGCTAAGTATGCCAAGCCTTCACCTTCTCTGTTTCGAACAATTTTAGCCAGCATAGGATTAGATTGAGAATCAATCTACAAAGTCTTGGTTAGTTTGAGTGAGCCACTTGGAGAGGTTCACTGTTGTCTTAGCTGGGAATCGAACCTGGACCTCCCACGTGGCTAGCGCCAAATTTACCATTGAGTCACCAAGGTTTAAATGTAGAGAAATATAACAGCACCTAAGTGGGTTGTCAAGTCAGTCCTTCTATACCGGTCAGAAACTTGCACTGCGTGTCACGAAAAGGATTTCCAACAAACAATTGCCTGCTTCGCTGGCTCCATACTGAAGTTTAAATGGCCGGCTGCCGGCCAGAAAGAATTAGCAACAAGAAACTCTGTCTTGATGGTGTTAGATGGTTGGAGGCAATCGGCACGAAGCCTTGGACCTTGAAGGAACTCATGTCCCTTCTGAGATTCGAACCCGCGTCACCCAGTGCTGCAGTCAGAGATGTTACCACTGAGCTATTCGGGCCCGCGATTGACCTCCTGTAGGACTGTAGTGGATATTTTGATTTGACACTAGTAACTAGTGTCAAATCAAGAAACTCTGTCTGGCAACAAACCAACAGGCGAGTGCCGATTGCTCAACAAATATTTAGGAGAAAATGGAGGTGGATCGGTCATGCGTTGAGTAGACCGTCGGATGACATCGCGCGCAATGCAGGCCACTGCTCGAGTAAAGTCCCAGTGGGAAGTGGCGACGAGTGGGTCTTCGGTGCGAGGGTGACATGGAGGAGATCATGGGGCGAGGAGATGTGAGATTATGGTCAGTCGTGGACCCAGCTGAAGAGCACGGCTTTAAATAGAACAAAACGGCGATGTGTTGTTGAAGTCCTACTTTCCACTCGGAATCCAAGGGAATAATACTAATATAATAAGTTTGTCCTACCGTATTAATGTATGTTAGTATATTTTTAAAAAATGTGACTTTAATTGCTTACATACTTCATTTTCTACGGAATCTTTTCATAAAGCTTTTGCTACTTTTGCAGAATTGCATTCTAGCAATTTATCTGTCATATTCATGAGTTCTTCTATCAAATTTTTTCCATTCATGACAGAATTTATCAATAAATCATTTTGCAAACTATTACATTTGGGGATTCCAGAAGTAATTAGTGTACGTCATCAATTCCTGTTAGGAAGTCAAAGAGTTATCTGGAAAGAGTAGCAGTAATATCTACACACCTACACATGTGTTTAATGTCAAATTTTTCTTGAATTATATGAAAGAAAATCATCGGTAAACTAAAAAACGACTCCATATCAAGTCAGGTCACCAAGTGGCATTGAAAACTACCAAGTTGTACTAGATAGCCGTTTCGTCCTAGTTTAGTACTCTTCATCAATATGCACCCATGACCCCATTGGGAATCTTTATGTCATGAGGCGTACCCGTAGACCATTCAACCAATAACCTATGAATTCTAATTTCCGTCAACTTGTGATATATGGATGGCGACCATCTGCCTGACTTGATGGACTTTGTTGGTGACAACTAGGGTTCCAGACAATATCATCCTGTAATTAATCATTAGCAAAGGTTCAGTTAATATAAGTATAAAATTTGGGCACTGTGCTGGTAGAGTATAATTCCATTATAGATAAGATTTTACTTTGATAAGTCACACAGTGTTACACAGTAATATTAACTGATGGCGTTTCGAGCATTAATTATTGCTCTTAATCATATCAAGCTACTCACACAACTTTCTTGCTTCATTTATATACATGTGTGACTAAATATCTGAATAAAAATCAATATGGGATAATGTACATTCAGAAATAATAATACGAGTGTTGTTGATCAATTACAGTCACATGAGAAATAAGACGAATGTTTTTATAGTCATAATAAGTAACTTGTTGGAATGTTGTGATGTGCTTGAATTGAAATAGAATTTCGAGATTATCTATTATCCTCCTCTGATTTGACTAGTGGTAATAATATCTTCCATATCTCAGGTATTTGCATTGAGTCATTTCTGTTGCATGTGCTGTTTTGTGTGTAGACTCAATGAACCAGGATTCAGTAATCAATCTCTCTCGCTCTCCACCTACATAGATTACTTCTTAGAATCTTAACCCTCTCCCACCCTATTGTGTGGTTGTATGTTAACGCATGTAGTGCAATTGCTGAGCTTTTTTCGAAATTACGTATCTTCTCTGGGTCAACCATTCTTACCTTACAGGATTTCAACATGAGCTGACATAAGTTAGAGAACCATTGGGAAACCTGGGAGTACTGGACAGTTGTTTCGTCCTGAAGAGTCCCAAACTAGGACGAAACAGCTGTCCAGTACTCCCAGGTTTCCCAATGGTTCTCTAACTAATGTCAGCTCATGTTGAAATCCTGTAATCAGTCAAATCCCTACAAACCAACATTCTTACCTTAGCCAAATTCTTGTTCCACCAATCTGATTACCCCCGATCTACTAGTTTGACCTATATAGTTGACCTCACAGTCACTGCAGGGTATTTTGTAAATTATATTATTTTGTTGAATTGGGTCCACCGGGTCTTTTAGCCTACAGAGGTTCAATTAACTTCAAGTGTTCATTTCTGAACATCAATTTGTCGTCACATGGTACCCCCAACACACACACGCACGAAGTTGTTTTGTTTCATAACCTATTAAAAAAATGTTAAGTTATCCATATTTTTGCGTTCATTATGAAATTTTGCTTTCATTGTATAATTTATCATCATCCAGGTTTTCAATTGGATTCAAGAATATCAGTCATCTTGCCTTCGGGATAATTGTCTGCAAACACCTATTAAAATTGAATCAGATATCAATCATGAAAGTGATGAGAATGAAAGCTCTAATGAAATAACCAATCATAAATCATTAACAAATTCTTCTCTTTATCATCAAGGACAACGTAATGAAACAATCGTCCAATCGTTGACATCATCATCATCAACAACAACACCGACATCAACATCAACTACATCAATCGCCTTATCTGAAAATAATTGTTCACAGAGACAAATTCAACACAATCGTCGTAAACCAATTAATCCAACTAGGCTTGCATGTGCAATAGTTGTCAATTCACCGAATAAATCATTACACGATAATCACCATCCTCATCCTCACCATCATCATCATCGTCCTTGTTTGTCAAATACAAATGATCATGAAAATTCAATAGTTCCCGTTACTTGATGATTGATTATGATGATGACGATAACGGAATAGTTTTCTTTTCTATTTTTCTTGTCACTTAAAGTATACAGACACAAGTTGGTTTTTTTTAATATATCCTTTCTCTGAATCAAAAGTCAGGGTCTTTTATTATTATTATCATCACTATTATTATTATTATTTCGTACATGTGTGTGTTTGTGTGAGGTATACTGCCCTGCTCTATATTATTACTGCATTTCATATAACATTAATGGTAATAATAATGATAGTAATGATAATTATTATGATTACCGTTTTTTGTATCAGTGTTTTTTATTTATTTCCTATTTCCGGTGAAATCCTAATCATAATTTATCCTATTTTTCCATTCGCTGTTTTGTTTTCTACTTTTAAAAGAAAAATACCAAATAATTATATGATTATACTAACATTTATTATCACTACTACTACTATCATTACTTATGATTGATTGATTGATTACTCACAACAAATAGTGTGTCGAATAATCAATTTTTTCTCTTTTTATATTATCCTTAATTATGCATATATAATCTTTTTTATTTCCAGCCTGGTTTTTTTTCTATTCACATTGATTTCTGACCATTTTTAAAAAAAACAACTAAAAGGTGATTTCATTTGTATATAAACAAGTGCTGTAAGATGCACCCCTGCACATGTATATGTGTGTGCGTGTATATTGACTAGAATTTTTATTCCCTACGCACCTATATATATATATACCTTTTCACACCTATCAATCTAAGATATCCATCTGTCCATCTATCTATCTATTTAAATATCCAATTAGCGAGTTGTGTGTGTGCGTTGCGCCTGCATGCGTAGGCGTTGACGTGTCTCTTATTTCTTAAATTTCATTTGTCATATCTTTGTCTATTCTTTTGGTCAACTTAATGTATAAGATTTTATATATCGCACACACACACATATACGTATATGCATTATTTTTCTACTTAAGCATTTTTTAATTCCTAATTGTCCCCCTCACCAACCACGTTAGCCACAACTGCCGCCAGCCACATTGTACTTATTTTTCTTTTGTCATATCAATGTTGTCTTTTTACTTTATCTTTCAACCCCCCTCCCTACCTCTCTATTTTGGTTTCAGGACCAGTGAACTTATCGGTATTACGAATACTATAATTATGTAATTAATTGGCGCTATTTTATTCCTTTTGTAATCATTATTACTGTTGTTATTACTCCTACTACCTACCTATATGTATATGTGTGTGTGTGTATTTTCTTACGATTAATGTATAATTTCCTGTTGTTTTTTTTTACACCTGTTATTTATTTATATTGGAAGAACAAACAAAACAGTACTACTAACAATGCGTTCATCAGTAATCCAGTTAGTGCATTTGTGTTTTCCAAAAAGGTTTTTTATTTTATATTCCTACCTATTGTCTTCAATATTGGATTATTCTTGCACAGATATATATATATATATATATATATATATATATATATATATATATATATTAATTCAATGAATACTTTCTCTTTCCTAATTGTATTTGATATATATATACATGTATCTCTGTGTGTATGTATGTTTATGTTTAGACTCTTATGTCATTCGACAATTTGTATATGTATGTATACTAATCAGAAACTCTATTTTAATGAATTTGTGGTACATTACAACAGAGGCTGTTTTGTTTTATCAAAGTTGTGTTTACTCCTCAGTACATCTTGTTTTCTTGGATTACTTTGCGTCTTAAGTGGAATATGTAGGGCTTCAAGCTTCGAAGTCTTATATGCTGAGTGTGTTGTTTTAACGGGATGGGATTGCTAACCTTATCAGCAGTATACTAAGCGAGGTTTAGGAGTGCATCGACCTGGAATTGAACGTGGACTACTTCATTTTGAACGGTAGATATTTTACCCTTGAACCTCCAGTGCACTTTCCAGTACTTAATGATGGTAATTAGTACATTTTCGTATCTGGATTGGCGTAGCCAAGGCTAGGATTTTATATTTACACAAACGACCAGACTAGGAATAGACGCAGTGATCCCAAATAAGCTATTCACTCATGTATCATTGAGGTTGCTGTATATTTAACCCCTCCTGGTGAAATAAATTTAGCTCCTCGGAGTATGCTTAATACGACTTCCTATTTTCCAGGCGTTTTGAAATCTTACTTTAACAACAGAAGGCAAGACACGGAAGCCAAGGTATATTTTCAAGTGATCAAACAGCTATTATTATATTATCATTGTTTCATTTAATTCCTAGAGGAACATAGAACTTCAGTCGCGCGTCTCCATTGCGTTCGGTTCTCTGTCACCTGGCTCCACGTTTTTGTCCACATGCTTTCATCTCCTCTTCACATGACCTCCATGTCAACCTCACGCTGACGGCCAACTCGCTGGTTCCTATTCGGGCTCCACTCGAGCGATGACCTGTCACTTGATGGTTTCCTCAGAGTATGGCTGATCCACCTCCGATTCTTCCTGCATATCTGTTGTGCAATCGGTTTCTGCTGGGTTGGTTCGTTCATTGCCAGATATCCCTGTTGCTGATCTTTTCTGGCTACTTGAGTAGTATTGAGCGAAGACAGCTGTTGACGAAAGTCTGTAGTTCGCTCGAGGTGGCCTTCTTGACGCGGCGCTGTGCTAAGTCTCTGTGTAGAGTAGCACTGGCTTCACACTGGAGTTGGAAATCCAGATCTTATTTTTCATGCTGAGTGCTCGTGACCTCCATACAGACTTGAGAGAAATGAAAGCTTGCCTTACTTTCCCGGTCCTCGTGGTATTGTACTATGAGGATAATGTTCTGTTGGAGAACACTTTGTGTATCACACCACCATACTACAACTGGTTTCATATATCTTGTAATTACTGTTAAGATTATTTATAAAGTAATATCCTAAATGGTTATACTATCTGCGTGACAACAACTGAAGGTAGATGAAATTAGGATATCTAAAGATTTTCTGCTTGATCTATTCATAGTGGGGTCGCTATTGTTGTTGTTTTATTTGCCATATTTCTTCATACAAACTTTCAAATACACCATTTTAATGTAAAGTACAGATTGAGCCGTTAAAGTTGTTATTAAAGTTTTATTTTTCCAGTTTATCCGAGGATCAAGAGGGAAAGTATGTTTTAAAACTGTGTTAACATAATCTTAAAGATGATTTCAAAACTGTCAGTAGAAAGATCCAATTTTAGTGTTCAATCAGCAGTAAGTATTCCCCTGTAACCTAAGCGATTAGTCTATATTGTCAGAATGTCATCTTATAGTTTCACTTTACTGTTCAAGTAGAGAAGCTAATCCAATCGGGAGATATAATGATGTGGTTTTGGAGTCCCAGGCTAAATAAACAGTGACATTAACCACCTATGACAGTTTTTCGGATACATTCTTGACTGGTGCTAGCATCAGACATAATACCAGATGGCTTCTGACCTAAAGCTTACAATGGATTGACTTGCTACCAGTTAGCAATGGAGAAAAGCAATCTCCTGAACTTTGACCTTGAGTTGTATCCTGTCTGTGAAAAAACTGGATTAAAAATTGGTATCTACAAAACTTTTACACTCCTAAGCTTTTGACGATGATGCCAGGTTTGGATTAAGGGGCCGATTAAGTAAATATATTATCATTAACCATTTCTTTCGACACTGCAGCAATAATCACTTTGATGAAGCTAGAATTCAAGGATTTTGATCATCATGAGTTGGTGCAACCTTATCCAAAGGTGTCGGCCGCTCACTCGAAGTGTCAATTAATACTAATCATGGAGCTTCGCAATCTCAGAGACAGTGATACACTGCTTAGTGTCACTTCCGTAATGATGAAAGACTACTCGAAAGATGAATTACATAAGGAAAGGTGGTCTCAGACAACGCAAAAAGCGGTTTAGCGAAACTTCTCATAAATTTAAGCAATTAATGAAATCTCAGTGTCCATCATATACACGTGAGTGACAATGCTTTTTAGCGGTAAATAATACCCCCATATTATTGGTCAACAACACCCTTCATTCCGTATTAGATGCGGACTCTCACTATCTAAGCCGACTTGCGAAGCTGAGGGCAACTGGTCAAGCGTTCATGCCGTTTGCCACGCCGTTGTGTTGCGTCCAGTCGTTCGGGTACGAGTACCAGATACTTAAGCACTCAACGTTTCTGACACCGAAATACATCTCTAATTTTAGAAGATCAGTTTGTTTCCTTGATTTGTCTCTGGTCCCAGTAGAACAAGGACAGTGGGGGTTACAGAATGAATAGTTGGGTTAGCATACAGCATCTCTTGCGCAATAATTGACTTCCTTCATCTCCAAAAAGGATACAAACAGCTTACAAACACCAGTCTATGATAGTAACTGGAAAAAAACACATAAGCTCCATCCCAGAACAACCCATGTAGGTTATATTTTAGACATAGAATGGAAGAAGACATTGGCGTTATGTACTGGTCGAGAATCTAATAGTCCTGACGCAAGAAAGACGGAAATCAGAAGACCACTAGGTTTGCGATGATACTTCTGTTTTCCAAACAGAAGGAGAATCAATGTCACACAAGAGTGTGAGAGCAAAATATATGAATGTCCGAACAAGTGTGAACACGAGTGTGAGCGAATATTCAAAATGAATAAATCAATAGACTGTCCTAACATGATTGGCTAATTATTATTGGAATATCGATCCATATATACATAGCAAAATATATCAGACTATCAAACAAAACACACATATTATATGCATATATATATCAACTGGCTGACCTAATTTTCCCCCATCTTTACAATAATTACTGGAAACAAGCTGTTCATCGATTGGTTTTCTGGACACAAACAGAATGAATATGCTAGCCTCTCAAATGGGGCGCAACTGATGCTGGAAGAAATGTCTGACAATGAGCAACTAGATGACCTTACGCCACACAAATTAATCGGGCATTTTTGCTTGTTTCTTGCCATCAAGTACAACTGATATTTACTATAGTGACGTTACGAATTGTCTTAAAATTTCAGACGCCTTGAACACATAGGTCTTAACTGCCTCCCACGTTTTCCTTTGTCTTCGGGAAACGCAAACTAACAAATTAATAATTAAAAATGAGTTGTGTGTTATTGAAGTGGCTAACACTCTCTTCCACTTCCCAAAATTTCGGCTATCATAAGTCCTAGTATTATTCGACCTTTTGACGAATTGTAAGCATCCGCACTGCATAGGGATAGAAAAAGCATAGACGCTGACCTGTAGTCATTAACGATAAAGTGGCGTACCGCTACCTGGATCTACGACATATCTACGGCGTAATGGTAACCAAGCTAGGCGAAATCGTATGCACTGCATTTTTCCTTATTGAGAGAGGAATCGAAAATCTAGCTTCCCTATTTATTAAAGCAATCTGTAGGGAGCGGTAGTTTAAGAGATGGACAGAAAATTTATCTCTGATTACAGCCTACCTTCTTCAAATAAATCTTACGACAGAGTGGCTTGACTAGCAGTTAAAGTCAGAATTCCAACCGGAAAAGTACTTCAGTGGAATAAGTCACTTCTCCAGGAACTTAGCTATGCGGAAATTATAAAAAGAACAGCACCACGGTTACAACAGCCTGTCGATCGACGTTATTTCGTATAACTTACAGTGAGATGAACAAATGACGGTTATTTGGTAGGCTGCATAACTTACAACACATACTGTTACAGCACGGGAAGGAAATAATATGTCAATGGATTTATTCGCTCAATTCAGTGAATTTTTGCAATGCCAAAGTCCAATGGTTCTGTAGGAGTGTCGAGAATGCATCCATCTTCCCGAACAGGTAGTGAGTTTATGCAAATTCACCTATCGCTTTACTATTATTTTCAGAAAACCATTAGTTTGTATGATATCCTCAACAACCTGGTTAATCGTGACCAAAAGCAACGTGGTTTATGTAGTATTTAAGTATCTGGGGATAATCTTCTTTAGCCAAGACAATTGGAAAGCAGGTATCAGAAAACCACAGTGAGTGACGCAATACATGAAGGCTTCATGTCTTAAATGGAAATACAAGAGGTGCCTATTTCCTTCAGAATTAAGCTTGAACTCGAGCAGCATAAGCTAGTTGGGCGCACCAGTACTGGAAATGAGCATTCGTGAAATATAGAAATACTCCATCAGAAAAAAGAAAGTACACACTTCCTTCTCATAATTAAGTAATAGATTTGACTGATATGACTGTGATACCAGTAGCCGTCCATCTGAGTAAATGATTAATTCGTTGTGATTATGATGCCTATTATTATTATGATTGTTAACATTATAGCCATAATGAATATGAACGCTGTTATTATTACAGCACTCAGTATCAAAAATTAGATCCGGATTTTCAACTCCAATGTGAAGCCAGTCAGTGCTACTATACGGATCAGAGACTTGGCGCGTCATAAAGAGCATCTCAAACAAACTTCAGACCTTCATCAAGGCGGCCTTCTTAAACCATTGTGCTACCGAAATTACTTTCTTCCAAAATGCTTAATTTCATTTGGATTTATCATTGTTTTAATCGTCCAGTTATATCAGATGACCTTTACATAAACTTTTGCGATGATATAACTTGCTCCCAAGTAAACGCTGTACAATTCTTCAACGAAATGAAGATATACTTTAGATTATTAATTTACATGTGAATCCTGTGTGAAGAAAAAAGTACTTTGGAACTGAATAGCTGAAAATTT